AGAAAGGTTGGACAAATGGGATTGCATGAAATTGCAGAGTTTCTGCATAGCAAAGGACATAGCTAGCAAGATAAATAGAAAGCACACAGATTGGGAGAAGAACTTCACTAGCTTACAACTGGACAAGGGTCTCATATCCAAAATATATCTGGAACTAAAATAATTAAATTTCCCAACAACAAATCCTCAAACAAACAACTGCCCAATTAATAAGTGGGCTAAAGACTTAAAGGGAAACTTCTCTGAAGAGGACAGAAGAATGGCCAATAGACACATGAAGAAATGCTCAACCTCCTTAGCCATAAAAGAAATTCGAATCAAAACAACATTGAGATACCACGTCACCCCAGTTAGAATGGCTATAACCAATAACTCTAATAACAACAGATGCTGGAGGAATGTAGACAGAAGGGAACCCTATTACATTGTTGGTGGGAGTGAAAACTTGTTCAACTACTTTGGAAAGTAGTATGGAGGTTCCTCAAAAGATTCCACATAGAGCTCCCCTATGACCCAGCAATCCCACTTTTGGGCATTTACCTGAATGATCACAAACAAGACCATACTAAAGCTACCAGCACAACTATGTTTATTGCAGCATTATTTACCATTGCTAAGATACGGAACCAACCCAGATGCAATGGTTCATCTTGTGTCCCTGTGTCAGAAGTTTGTTATTCCCCTTCCCCTCCCCAGATTAGACATATGTATATACAACATGCAATGTACCAAAATCAAGTACAGTAACAACAGGGGATATGCTATAGGGGAAAGAACATACAAAGGAAACAACAACAAAAAGAAAAATCACATGGTACATTGAAAACAATAATGATAAAGATAGACCTCTTATGTCCATATCTTGGAGTTCATTTCACTTAGCATCATTTTATATGGTCCTTGTATATGGCTTTTGAGTTTTCAGCTCATCTGAAAGATTATCCTGTATGTATACTAATTATTTCAAATAAGGGAAACCATGGAACCTAAATTTCTTCGGGACTGGGTTACTTCACTTAATATTTTTTCCAAGTCTCTCCATTTCCTAACAAGTGGGACAGTGTCATTCTTTCTGATGGAAGCATAGAATTCATATATATATATATATATATATATATGAGATCATATTTTCTTGATGCATGCATCTACTGAAGGGCATCTGGGTTGGTTCCATATCTTAGCTATGGTGAATAATGCTACAATACACATAGCTGTGCTGGTAACTTTACTATGGCTTTGTTTGTGATCATTTGGGTAAATGCAGAGATGTGGGATTGCTGGGTCATAGGGGGAGTTCTATGTGCAGTTCTTTGTAGAACCTCCATACTGCTTTCCAAAGTGGTTGAACAAGTTTATTCTCCCATCAACAATGCAGTAGGGTTCACTTTTGGACACATCCCCTCCATCACCTGTTGTTCTTAGAGTTCTTGACTATAGACATTCTAATTTGGGTGAGGTGAAATCTCAATATTGTTTTGATTTGCATTTCTTTTATGGCCAGAGAATTTGAGAATTTCTTCATGGGTCTATTGGCCATTCTTATTTCCTCTTCAGAGAAGTCTCTCTTTAAGTCTTTAGCTCACTTGTTGATGGGGTGGTTGCTTGTTTGAGGATTTGTTTTTGGAGGGTTTGATTTTTTGAGTTCTAAGTATATTTTATATATGAGACACTTGTCTGTTGTATAGCTAGTGAAGATCTTCTCCCAATCGGTGGGCTTTCTATTGATCTTACTACCTATGTCCTTAGCCATGCAGAAGCTCTGCAGTTTCATGCAATCCCATTTGTCCAACCTGTCTTTGATTTGTTGTGTTTCTGGGTCTCTATTAAGGAAATTTTGGCCTGTGCCAAAGAGCCCTAGAGTTTCTCCTATTCCTTCCTGTAATGTTTTCAGGGTGTCTGCTTTTACTTCAAGGTCTTTGATCTATTTGGAGTTGATTCTTGTGCAGGGTGATATAGAAGGACCTAATTTAATTTTCTACAGGTGTTTAACCAATTTTTCCAACACCATTTACTGAAGAGACTGTCTTTCTTCCATTCTATTTTTTGGCTCTGTTATCAAAGATTGGTGGCTATAGGTCTGTGGGTTCATTTCTGAGCCTTCAGTTCTATTCCATTGGTATTCAGATCTGTTCTTATGCCAGTAGCATGCTGTTTTGATTACTATAGCTTTGTAGTAGAGTTTGAAGTCTGGTATTGTTATTCCTCCAGCACCATTCTTTCTGCTAAGGATTATTTTTGTTCGTCGGGGTCTTTTATTGTTCCATATGAATTTTTAGATTGCTTCTTCTATTTCCTTGAAGAGTGAGGTTGGGATATATATGAGTATTGCATTGAGTTTGTAGATAGCCTTTGGCAGTATTGCCATTTTCATGATGTTAATCTTCCCACACCAGTAGCATGGGAAGTTTTCCCACTTCCTTAATTCTACTTTAATTTCCTTTTTCAGGTCTTTAAAGAGGTCCTTTACCTCTTTAGTTAACTCCTAGGTATTTTGTTTTTGTGTTGCTATTTAAAAAAGGGTTGTTTTCCTGATTTCAGCTGTGCTCTTCTTCTTATTGGCATACAGAAAAGTCATTGATTTCTGAGGGCTAATTTTATACCTTGGTACTTTGCCAAAGTTTTGAATCAGCTCAAGTAACTTCAGAGTGGAGTTCATGGGTGCTTTAAATACGAGATTATGTCATCTAGCAGACACATTTTTTATGATTTATTTATTTATTATTGTGAACATACTGTACAGAGGGGTTACAATTACATGGGCAAGATAATGAGTACATTTCTTATCAAGCATTGCAGCCTCCTCTTTTGTTTACCCTTCACATCCCTTCCAAGCCTCCCCCCACCAATCTCCCCCCCCACCAAAGTTGTAAAGTTCATTTTCAACATGACAACTTGTACTTCTCATTGTTGCAATGGGTCCACCTGTATCCTTAAACGACTTGTTTTTCCCCTTCTCCTCCACAAATTATACCAACATCAAATATAGTGAAAGCAGGGGTTATACTGTGGGGGAGGGACATACAAAGCAACAAAGAGACACATTTTAAAAGTAATGTTACTTGGGTTTTTTTTTGACGAACGGGGATTTGTATTCAGAACTTGATGTTTAGCTCATTCACTTCCTCAACTGGCATTCTACCACTGGAGCTATGACTCCCATCCTGATTTTTGCTGGTTGTTTTGAAACCTAAGGACTTTTCTGTAACAAATACAGAGAATGAAAGCCAAACATGACAGGCATGGCGACACACATCTAAAATACCAGCATTAAGGAGGACAAAGCAGAAATGTGTAATTCATAGCCCCATGTATACTTTATTCTTCAATAAATGCCTCTTCCTTTACTATGTTCCTCTCTAGTCCTGGGTTTTCTTGCCATCAGTAACATGTTTTAACCTTAACTCTATATCCAAGAATCAAGGGCACTACCAAACCATCATTCCCAAGACTGCTGCTCACTGATAACATATTGGGTGCGATGTCTCAGATCACTAAAACAGTTCTCAGCCTAAATCTCATGTGTCAAAAATGGTATGCCACTCATCTTTCCTCACTTTCTGCCTTGCCTCAACCAAAATGTTGGCCGTAGATATTTCTCCTACATCTTCAACCACGAATGAAAGAGGGAAGCTACCTCCCAATATTTACTTTTTCTGCTGGCTGCTTAGCCTATTGCATATATGTGGAAATGAATCTCTCTTCTATACAAATTTTCCAGGCCACTTCTCTCCTTATGCAAGCCTCTCTCCTTCCTTTTGTCGCTTACCTTCTGTGAGGAGGAAGCCATCTTGATGTACAGAGAAAGAACACAGTGTGATTGGACTCTGACATAGAGTACGTTGAGTTTCCTTGGGGATTCCTTCCTCAGTGGGAAGGACCTTTCCTTCTTATGGCGAGCCCCATGTAGGCAAAGGTTTTAGGAGCTGTAATTACAGTGATACTAAGTAGTCATGGGAATTATTATGGACCATGGATTTTGTCCCTGGAAGGCCATGATTAAAAGCCAAGACATATAAAAGAATAAAAGGTGATTCCTTCCATGCATAAGTAAACATAGCAGATCACAGAGGGGAACTCCTCAGTCTCCTCCACTTGTAAAAATTTTTCCTTTGCTAAAAATTTTAATTCCATTCTGAGGAAAAAATGGCTCACTTTTTGGTGTAGCACTAACTGACTTCAATTCTCTCCAACGGATAAGGTAGCTTTGAGGCTAATGTGGTCTAAAGACAAGACTATCTTATAGCTTGACATATTTTGACAAAAATTAGAGAAATGACCTAAAGTATTGCATGATGCTATGCATAACACTAAGTTTATCAATGATAGATAGAAGAGCTACACTGTGGGCCTTCACTCTCATCTCCACCCATCAGCTTCTTGGTTCTTCAGAACCAACACAAAAGATACCTACAGCTTGGGAAAGAGGAGTCCCAAACCCAACTTGCTACTCCAGCAGTCCCTCTGAAGCTTACCCCTGCCACATATCACCTCCAGGCTTCATGTACTAGGCTAAAAATTGTAGGTGTCTTACTGGAACCCATGCAAATTTAAACCCTCTTTTTCTATCAAATAATTATAACTTATTTCTAATAACTTGGACAAACACATAGAGATTCTGATAAGTATATTTCAGGGTTTTAAAACCTCTCGGTAACATATACCTTCACTTGAAGGTATCTTTATGTACTATTCAACCAGACCCTGACCAGTCAGGTTATGATAAGGTTACACTGGCAGCTACTAAAGTCAGAGACAAATTTGGAAATGGGTAAAAAGTCTGTGTCCACCAGCAAGCCACCACTGTGGATATAATATCTCACATGAAATATCAAATATATAATATAAAATATCTTGTGACATATCTAATAGAGGGCATATAAAGGATCCAAAAACAGTTTGTAAAGTTTAACAAATTAACTCTAATGAACCACCTCCATAAACAAAGACAAAAACATGAAATCACAACATTTCTAGAGAAGATGAAGCAAGGCCTACTCACACTAATCTTGATCGTAGCTTGAGAGGCCACCTTCTTCTTTCCTGAGGATATGATTACCATAATATCCCTAGACATAGAAAGAAATCTTACAAAATCCAAGGGTCCTAAAACCCCCCATAAGTGGCATTATTAAGATTGTACCTTTATTTTTTTATATAACTAACAACAACAAAAACAAAATTAAAAGACAGACAAAAATCCTGGTAACCATACATGGGTCACCCTTCCCAAGTCAACCTAAGAACAAACACAGACCACTGAATTAGATTAAAAAAACAAGACATAAACATTTGTAGACTACAAGAAACGTGTATCATTGGAAAAGGTAAGCCAAGAGAAAACTGTAGAAATAATTTTGAAGCAAGTGGATACTGAAAGCAGGAAAGATCAGCTACATCCATGGGTTAAAATAGCAAACTTCAAACCAGAATTAATCAGCAGAGATAAAGAAGTTCACTTCATATTGATAAAGGCAAAGATCCAACAAGAGATCAAATGTCAGTGTGCATAATTTCATCAAGGAAATGCCACTAGACAAAACAGAGAAACTCAAAGCAATAATAGTGGATAATGTTAAAATTCCATTTTTACTTAGAAACAAGACATTCAGATTAAATATTAACAAATATACTTCAGAATTAATGACACATAGATCAAATGGGTTTAACTGACATTAACAGATTTCATCCACTAGAATTCACACTCTTCTCAGTAGCTCTTGGAACTTTCCTCAGCTGAATCACATATTAAGAATTAAAGTAACTTCACATACAAGAAAATTGAGATGATGTTCTGTTATTAGACCATTAGAGAATAAACCTAGCTATCAATGAGAAACTTTGAAACTATGACCTTTGTTAGGTGTATCTAATTCATCAGTTCTACTACATTTATTGTTGGAAATTTAATTCTTTATTGGAAACATCATCTTTGTAGATGTCTAAAATTGTGCATAACATAGTAAAAGTAAAGGCGTATACTAATGCTCAATATGAACTACAACATATAGCAAGAATGCAAATAAGACGAAGTCTGTATAATGAAACTACAGTTATCGAGACAATCTGACCAAAGTTGATAACCAGGAAAAAATTACTATTATGAAAATCTAGTGTACAATTTGGGTTAAATATTATTGGTTTAAGGATTTTGTTTAAGTAATGAGAATGTTCAAATTTATTGGGAATTCTCACTAAGGGCATACATTCTACAGAAATATTTCAAATATGAAGTGGAACGAGATGAGCTTACTATCCTTTATCTATCAGTCTTGTTCTTCTGACTATCTATAATTTGTTATAAAGCTACACACTATAACCTTTGCCATATTCTTTGTTGAAATGGTAGGCTAATTTATCATTGTAAGGTCTGCTCCTGGATGGCTAGTAGACTCCACCCTCCTTGCAGCAAAGTCTCCACCCAGTACCTGCGTTACCTAGGCAACTGGGACACCTGGAAGAGGTCACATCTGCATCCGCTGAGGTCACATCTGAATTTGATGTGGCCACACCTTTCCCTGCCCATACCCTACATAAGGCCTAGCCCAGGCCCAGACGCTCTCTTGCTCTTGCTGCTCTTTTCTTGCTCTCTCTGTTCTATTCTAGCTCTCTGTTCTTTTCTTGCTCTCTTTCCCAGCCACGTGGAGTGCCAACCTTGCCTGGTCCCAGCAGGTCTACCCCTTACCTGAATACCACGTGAGTGCT